ACTCGTCCATCAAGAAGTAATTTTGGTAGAGCTTGGGAAAGACTTGGGTGTATTGAGAAGGAACCTGTTTGTTCTGTCTTAATTTTTTTCAGTTTGGAAAAGTAGTTAGAAATCCCACAGCCTTGAAATAAACTTTTTAAAACAGTAACCTTTCTAACCAGTTGATTCTTTGTTGAGATAACGAGGAGAGTGGACTAGGGTAACACCTCAGCCTCTTTCTTGGAAAAATACACTTTTTAGGTATTTAGGATATATTCAAACTTACACAGAGATTCCCAAAATCTGCTTTCCTGACACCAACATCTGGGAAAACAATAGTCATAAAACATGGACAGTTTAAGAAAAGCTACTGATTTCCCCCCTAAGAATTTCATAATATCGGATTAGGGTTCGACAGGCAATTCTCTATTCTTTCAGTTTTCTCCAAGCTCCTGGAGGCAGAGGCTGTATCTTCATGTGAATGCTGCCTGACTGTGGAAAGTTATCTCCAACGGGAACATAGCTGCGCCTCTGCCTTTAGGTGCACACAAGTCATTCTTCTGAACAAGTCTACTGACTCCCCTTCTGCGTTTGGACACCTGAGTGCACTTACTAGAAACTGGATTCCCTCTTGAAAACTCACTGTGAAAACTGGTCGACTCTGCGACAACTCTCTAAGATTGGAACAAACACGGAACTCACTTAAAAGGAGAGCTGCCACGCCCCTTACCATCATCCTCACACTCTTCCAGAGGCTTCTGCTGCTTGCTCAGGCACCGAGGGTCTAACCAAGACGTTGTTTTTGTGTTATGGCTGAAATCCAGAAACAAAAACAAGAAATAGATTTAAAAGGAGAAGCAGAGAGCGCAGTGACAACAAAACTTCACATTCTTGAACAGTTGCTCTTCAACTACAGATTCACTGCGACAGCAAACCCAGAGCAGAGAGCCCTGGTTAGGAATGAGGAGGTGGTCGAGGCAAAGGCTCTGGTGGGCTTTTTACTCAACGGAAGATATAATCACCCCAGGATTGAGAGCTGAAATGGTATCCCAGGTTCATTTTTTAAAAATGAGTTCCAAATGACACCCCTTGTTTGTATTGTCCGCGGCTGACTAGACTTATTTAGTCTTCCCATTTGCTGAAGAGCAAACCCCAATTTATTTTAAATTTGCTGTGACTTAAATCGTGAACGCGGGGATTCACACAGGAGGCTGCTATTTCATTCACTCTATTACATAAGACTTCTCCTGACCATGGGAAACTCCCTCAATTCATGCAAGTGGCTCAAGGCAGCTAATGCATGTCATTAATGGCAGCGGCCCACACTGTGATTCAGGCGAGGTGAAGGCAACTCGAAGTCACCTAACATAAATACACCAGGGCCAGAAAAACCTCGGAGAAGTCAACGCGCTGCCCAATTGCTCTGAATAGTATTCCCTGCCATGAACGGACCACAGTTTACCACTGAAGGACATCTGGGTTGTTTCCGGTTTTTGGCTATTTGGAATAAATCTACTTAAATATCCATGTACGGGTTTTCCTGTGAATGTAGGTGTTCAAAGGTGCAATGCTGGGTGATGTTGTAGTCACAGGTTTAGTCTTTCAGAAACTGCCAGACCGTTTTCTAGAATGCCACACAATTTTACATACCACTGGCCCTGCGTGCACGATCTAGTTTCTCTGCATCTTTGCCACCATGTGGTGTTGTTACTGTTTTTTATGTTAGCCATCCCAATAGGTGCGTAATGATACCTGCGTAGCTTTAATGTGCAGCTAACGATGTTGAATGTTTCCTCACGTGCTTACCTGTCACCTGTACGCCCTCTTTGGTGAGATGTACGTCCAAGTATTTAACTCATTTTCTAATAGGATTTTTATTTTTTATACTGCTGAAATTTGAGCGTTCTTTATATATTCTAAATGCCTGTCAATTTTCAGATGCAGGGTCTGCAAATATTTTTCCCAGTCTATTGTTTGTCTCTTTATCCTCTTCTCAGAGTCTTTCTTAAGCCAAAGTTTTTCATTTTGATGAAGTTGAATTTATCCTTTTAGGGGGTCATGTGTATGATGTCAAATCTAATAATTCTTTGCCTATTCCTAGATCCCAATCTAGGAAAAATCTGTATATTTTTTATAGTGTTTTCTTCCTAAGTTTTATTGCTTTATATTTTACACTTAAGTCTGCAGTGATCTATTTTGAGTTTTTTCTTGTATGAGGTGTAAGGTGGAGGTTGAGGTTAATTTATTCGCTATAAAACTTCTGAAAGAAATATAGCAGAAAGTGGCTGCCTGATGACTTTGAGTTAAGCAGATTTCTTAGCTAGTACACTAAAAGCACAAGCTGCAACAGAAAAAATGTTTATAAATTAGAAAATTGGTAAGTTCTTAATTCATCAAAATCAAGAACTTCCAGCTCCTCACAAGACACAGTTAAGACAATAAAAATAAAATCCTGACTTGGAGAAAATGTTAGCAAATGACAAATATAATAAGGGCATTGTATCCAGAATACATAAAGAACTCTTAAAACTCAACAAAAAGAAAACTGCAACCCATATAAGAGAAAATAAGCAAATGAGTTACCTATTTTTAATGGCTAAATATACTCTTAGTATATTAGACCATCATTTAAATATACACCATAATTTAGTTGTCTAACTCTTTAAGGAAATTATTGACTGTATGTTTCCTCAAGCTATTCAGGCTCAATGACTAGGATGATATGCTAATTGCTTTTTTGTGCAAAGCTTATTAAATTGAATAAAGAACTCCACCAGCCTGTGATCAGTCCTTTTCAGATTTACGCTGCATCTGTAGCTGCTGGAGAGAGGGAGGAAGGGGAATGAAAGACAGGGACAGAGCCAGGAAGAAAGAACGGTATACTTTACTCTATGAAATAGACTTCTCCATTTTCGGTGTAGGCCATCTCCCAGTTCTCAGGTAGAGGACCTAGGTTATCCTCTGCGGAAAGAGGTAGGTATTGAGGGAACTTCTGAGAAGGGTCCGTGATGGGGGCAGCGAGGAGGCTACTATTCACAGGTGGGAGCGTTGCTTCCGGCAGGCTGTGCTCTTCCTGATCAGCAGAATCGGCTGTGCAGTCGTGGGAGAGGGAGAGACAGAGGAGACAGTCATCCATCAAACCCCAAACGGGGGCACGGCACCACGCACTGTCTGCACCTCCAAGCCCTCACCCTCTCCTCCTTTCTGACCGTTGACTATTCTGTTTGCTTTAGACAAAGGTTTTTAAGCAGAAACATCAAAATGAGAGGCCAAATTTACTTTACCTAAAAAGAAAGAAGAGAAAAACATGCTCCAATGATACGCTGCTCACAATTGTGGAAGTGTCAAAGAAGAAACAGATAATGACTCAAACCCTAAAGTTTCTTAAACTACAAAGGCCATAAAAAAGACAAGAGGAAGAGAAGGTCATCAAAACACACAGGGGCTGAACTGTCAATCCGGGGGAATCATCTGGTTTCATGGCTCAGAGGGCTCTCTCAGAAGGTGAGAAAGAAGTCCACAATGAAAACGATATAGTGGCATTCTTGTCCATTTTGCATAAATTATTTAAAGCATTTTTGGTAGACAGTGGCAAAGTTCAAAGATTCACCAATCAGGCTGGAAAGTATGTAAAAGTTTACAATGCAGAGAGTTACGCCAGTGAGGCACTTTTGCAAAAAGTGAGGAGAATGTTCCGTGAAAACCAAGACAGTTCCCCCGGAACAGTAAAATGTAGGTGGATGGATTTGACTTGGGTCTTAAAAAGAAGCCTCCAAGTACATGAGTCTCTTCCCTTCTTATTAACCAGAAACTTGATGTCATCAAAGTATCCACAGATGCAATGCTGACATTCTGGTGAATTTTTACAGAGGCCAACGTCAATCTCTATGGGGTTGGAAAACATAACATCAGTGACGGAGTTACTTTCTATCTCCCATAGTGATTGTACTATAGACATTCCTGACTTACTGGATGCAGACGGAGGAATAATGAAAGGCTATACTTCGAATCTTTCTCTGATCAGCAGCTCCCAATGACATTGTGAGAACAAAGGTAATCCAAAAGCTGGATGGAGATGGACCTATGAAACCACCACCAAAACCTCTGCACACTGAGAGGCTGCCTGTGGTCTTTCCTCACTCTGCATCTCTCCCCTCTTCTGTTACCACCACTTAGACCTCCCTTTAAAAACCATCCCCTTTATTCCAGGTCTCCGGGGTCTACCTCAAATTCACTGCCAGCTCACACAGGGGGCCCAATTCACACTCCTGTCTCTCTTGTATTTGTGATTGGATCAGGCATATGATCCAAGGCAAACCAATGAACATCAGGCATGAAAGTTTAGCTCTTATCAGTCAAGAGGTGGGCCCCTGATGCTGAAGACGTTAAGCTGCTGGGTTCTCATACTGCAATTTCAGGCGGCCCTCTTGACAGCTTGCCAATCCTGCCTGACACTTGGCCTACGCAGAGGAAAGCAGAGATGAAAGACACAGAAAGTCACCTAAAACCTGTGACTGACTTTCGTGCCTGAAATCAAGGCTGCCCATGGCCTCCTTAACAACTCAACCGCCTAAATTCCCTTTAACAGCTATACGTTTGAAGGAAGAAAGGAAATTAGGCGAAGAGAGAAGAAACATTTTGAAATTACTAATCAATAAAGAATAAATTCAAAGCTTGGCAAGAATGGAAAGATTCACCCTTACTTCGCTAGGAGCCACCATGTGTTCATTTCTGGTATGTCTCTGGAAGGTCCACTTCCCCCACTTACACATACATAAGAATCACCAGGAGAGACTGTTAACATGCAATCTTTATGCTATTGCTACTCTATGCTCAAAGTGGCTGGTGGGTTGCTATTAAAGGGGTTCAGAGTGCAAGATGCTTTGACACAGCTGGTTTGATACACGTATCATAGACGGGGTAGTGTCAATTATTTGAAAGAATTTACATGATTAGTGTATGATGGGTTATCAGCTGTCACAGCTGTAGTTTGGTAAGTGAGGGGGCACTCATTCAACACGTTCCTTACATATGGAGGATGTCCCATCAATGTGTATATTGAGGCCAGTTCTCTGTGCACCCATCGGATTTCTTGGCATTAAAGCAGGCATCCGAATAAGACAACCAGGTGCCACTGTTTTGTGCAGAAACTAATGATCAGACTGATGCTAGCAAAGATGATCTGCGCCCAGAAGAAAAATGAGAAAACCTCAGAAAGGCCCATATAGGCTGTAGAAAGCATTTCCTTTGATGCCAGGATTTCAAGTGGAAGTTTAATGAGGACAGATTTTCTGAGGCATGGCTTCTAGAGACAGAGATTTTAGTCTTAGAAATAGGAAAGGCATCAAACCTAGAGTCAACTACCCCTATGCGCTTTCTCCCAAGAAATCTACGTAAGAAATGAAGGACAAATAAAGGTGCAAGCTTCCTGGGGCCCACCCAGATGCTTGGCAGGACTGCTTCACAGCACGTGACGCCACATGACTTCTGTTTCTGTGTCCACGTCTGTGTTTTGGGTTATATCATGATTTGCTCTTCTTATGTGTTGAAAGATTAAGCATTAAAATATTAGCTATTTTCAAAAGAAATATTGACTTTTCAAATCTGCTTTCATTTCAATGAGAGCTACTAACTATAAATCCATAAAATATTTATTTCTAACTGGTTGAAAGAACCTAGTTTCAATATGTAAAGGATGGCAAGTTTCTCCTAGCTATTGAAGCTACAAGTTTGCTCTGGCTTGGCCCATTCTAATAGAGAAAATGGCAATTTTCATGGAATCAAACTCTTAGAGCTGGAAGGGGGAACACAGGCATGACTTAATCCTAGCTGGTTATTTTGCAAATGTGAGAAGTAGATACGATGTTCATAATGAGAAACGGCTAAGAAGCAAGCTAGGAGAGCAAACCAGGCCCCCTCCTGCTTTTTCCAATGAGTCTTGCAGAGGGATCAGGCCACTGGTAGATAAGCAAGTCATCGAGAATGTTTTTAATTGCCATGTTGAGGAATTTTAGGTTTTTGAGCTTTAAAAGATGAGAAAACCTCAGAGAGGCCCATATAGGCTGTAGAAAGCATTCAAGTAACACAAAGTTTCCCCTAAATATTCCATTACACTTGGTAGCACAAGGAAGAAAATACAGGTTAAGTAATCTCCCCTTTATTGGAATTAAGTCTAACCAAGTAATGGCTGAATGTGGTGAAGTCGGAAGAGGTCAATATGAGAGAGGAAGATTCATGTGCTGCAAAGAACTGTAACCCTAAAATATTAAGAGAAAATATTTAAGTATAGGAAAAATAGAAGAAACAAGATATTCTTCACAGTTGCAGCATAATACTAGTAGACGGTAGTAACTCACCTATCAGGCAGTTGTTACGTTCTGAGTTACTATATAAGGTCAAACCCCCATAGAGTGAAAAGTATTTTTGGACAGTTCTAGGTCACTGCACCAACCCGGGGAACATCCATCATAGTTTCTGTGAATGGTGCTTCCTGGAAATGTCCAAGACCAACAGGATAGCCACCTCCAGAGGCCTGTCCTTGAAGACCCCTTCATCAAATACAGGGGTCTTACCTAAGTGTGGGGGCTGGCAGCCTGAATATAGACAAGTAGGTAACACAATGAGTAATATGTGCCATCTGATACAGAACGCATATGCAACAGGCAAGCAGGGCGTTTATTATTTCCCATCGTATAGGGCATACGATGTAAAATATCCCCATGTTAATAGACACATGATGTATCTCCGCTCTAGCTCTACTCACAAAGGTATGATGCACATGGTACTAGCCTTCCAAAGGGCATAGCTTGTTATTAAACTGTTAAACCAATTCTCATATTCCCCTTTGCCAGCCGTCAGCCATAACAATGGAGCAGTGTCAGGCCAGGAAATTAACAGACAATATACAAATAGCCTTCTACGCAGTTTTCAAGAGGCAGAAACAACACTAGTTTTTCTCTACAAACCTGTCCCTCTAGCCCCTTTCAGATATTTGGGCGAAGTTAGAACAGTCTTGCGAAGCAATGTGATAAATACACAGGAAAAGACACCTCTTCCCAGCATGAAGGGTCAGTGTGAATCCTGGTGACCCTTCCTAATTCCTCTCGAGAATAGAAACCTTACAATTTGCAAAAAGCCTCCCACCACCCCCTTTCCCCAAGTCCGGGGACAGGGAACACCATCCGGGCTTTACCTGTGAAGCTGCTGTTCATTTCAGGACCGTCATCCTCCTCAAGCTCCGCATGGACTAGGCCAGCATTTTGCATATCATTGTAGGACTTGGTTCGCTTGGGGGTCGACTGCTTGGAGCCGGAGTGAAGGCTTTGCAAGGCATCCGTCGTGATCACTTTCCCACTGACCGGCTGGCTGGGAGGTTTGGGTGTCCCATAATAGTTTCCTAGGCAACGGGGAGACACATTTGCATGTTTCAGAAAGAATACTTTGTTGTTGTTTTTTTCAAGACTTCACATCCAACTGTCTCAGCACATTTTAAGATAATGTATTTAAGCTGGAAAAAACAACAAAACAAAACAAAGCCCAGAACAGACTGTATTTCGCTTCTGAAATGGGTTGGAAAAGATGTCGTTGGTATCCAGCTGGACATTTCAGAAGCTGGAAGGAAACCTGTATTGTTTTGGTGCAAAGAACTTACTAGACTCAAAACAAAGGCGGCTGTGCTGAATAGCAACACTTCACCCTCATTACATCGGAATTCCAATTGGTCACCTGTTTACACATATGCACTAGTAGAATGCTGAGTCCAATTGAGAGTGCGCCTCACAGAACATAAAAAATTCATTACTGGCTGCACCCTCCAGGCCGACCAAGGGGAGGTCACCTTCCCTTCAGAAGGGGCTCCTCACGAGGGAAGGTTTTACAAAGAAGGGCAGTGACACCACGTGGCGCCTCTTCAACTGAGTGGCAGGCTTAGCGCTCAGGGTCATCCTGGGTGGGAACGACCTTGCCAAGTTTTAACAGAAACTGTCAACGGTGGAAACCCTTACGTGTCATTCTTCTAGTAATTACCCATCTTTTCTCAGCCACTTTCCCCCAAAGTTTGGTTAAGATCCAACCAGAATGTGCTCCTGGGTGGTACATGGATGGACTTTTCAATTTGAATAAGTGTTTATATTTTAATGTGAACTAGAAAAAAATCTAATTAGTAAATCATGGTAGTAATACAAAGCTTACTTTTTTTGTTATTGTTGTTAATCCTCACTTGACATTTTTCCCACTGATTTTTAGAGAGAGAAGAAGGGAGGGGGAGAGACAGAGAGAGAGAAACATTGATGTGAGAGAGACACATTGATTGGCTGCCTCCCACATGTGCCCTGACCAGGGTTGGGTATTGACATTGCAACCAGGGTACATGGCCTTGACCAGAATCGAATCCAGGAACCTTCAGTCCTTGGGGGGCTGATGCCCTATCTATTGAGCCAAAACAGCTAAGGCCTAAAGGTTACTTTTAAAATTATGGATAAGGACAACAGTGTGGTGATTGTGGGGGGTGGGGAGTGGAGGTGGAAGAGGGCAGAGAGGGGATAAATGGTGATGAAAAAAATAAAATAATAAAAAATTAATAAAAACAGTATTTTTAAAATTGACTTTTTTAACTTACAGTTTAAAAAAGGCAACTATCCTATATAATAAAAGGCTAATATGCAAATCAACCAAACAGTGGAACAACTGGTAGCTATGACACGCACTGACCACCAGGAGGCAGATGCTCAATGCAGGAGCTGCCCCCTGGTGGTCAGTGCACTCCCACAGGGGAGTGCTGCTCAGTCAGAAGCCAGGCTCACGGTTGGTGAGCACAGCAGCGCTAAGGATGTCTGACTGCTGGCTTAGGCCCAATCCCTGTGGGGAGCCCCCACCTCCCAGTGCAGGAATTTCGTGCACCGGGCCTCTAGTATACAATAAGAAATTAATCAACTAAATAAAGCACAGCAATAGTAGTGAGGAGTTTCTTTTTGAAAATTTAAGTTGAAAAGTATGCTTTTAAACAAACCTGTAAATAGACATTATGTTAGATATGGACAAAAATCATGAAGGTGATTCATAAATGGCCAAAGCTGGAAAAATACAGCTTATAATCAATACTATTCTGTGAGTGGATGATAAAAAACATCAACATTAAGAAGCCCGTGATCCAGTCCCCATCTCGGGGCTTTAGCGAAAGCCGGGCGGGCCAGGTGTACTGAGCCCTTTAAGACGTGTCCTAAGCCAGGCTTGCTGATCTGGCTTAGCAAAGAACCTGTAAATCACAAGAAACCCCGATCCTTTCCAAGGCTCTCATCCCACTGTCTAACCTCAATTCACAATCACATAAAACAAAAATTTAAAAACATACACTTTATTATAGAAGCACAAAGAATAAGGAGGCAGTAACTTCTGCATGAGACACCAGTGATGAAGAATTTGCTTCCTTTAAGCTTGATTTTTATAATTAAAACTTTTTCAATGAGTATTATCTCTTTAAAATAATTTCTGAATCACCAAGTGTATGGATATACACACTCACTCTCTTTGAGGGGGTGCAAGGTGGTCATGGGGGAACTCTGAACCCTCCAACTGAAAAGGGCCGCGGCTGATGGCACCAGGCTTGAACCCGAGGTCACAGGCGGAGACCGACGTATCCCTCTCTTCCCACAGTCCTTCCAGGTTCCAACTTCAAGGCACAGGGACCAGCAGAACCAGCCAGAGGAAAGGCCCCATGTGAGTTTCAGGGGCTGCCAGGTATGTGAGGAAGGAGCACACACAGGGCCCGGACTCGGCTTCACTGTCCCTCAGCTACGGGCTGACTTTCCCACTAACCGAAGGCTATCAGAAAGGTTTAGGGAAGAAAGCTAACTTTTAAAAAAAAATGTTTATAGTGAACAAAAAGTAGAGCTTTTATTAAATTTAATTCCAATTCCTTCCAATCACATCAAAGCACCATGTGTTTTTCTGACTTACAGGTTGATCTAAGGCAATGTGTACAAGTAATTGTTCCACTGAAAGGTGTGGAATATATTTTTACAATCATATCACTTTTTCAGGGCCATTAAACTGAAGTAATTTTCATAAAACCACCGTCATTTAAGAATCAGTTAAAACTTAGAAATCTTGTTCATGACAGAAATAAATGTCTAGGAAGTACAAGTGGTACCTAAATTTGACAAATGTGTGTGGATTTTCCTCCGTTTCCAAGTCCAGGGTCTTCCTTAAATTAATAAATGATTAGCAGATTTCTAAAACACAACAAAAAGCACCCCCGCAGAATCCACTCGTCCATTATTGTTTCCTGTTTCTGGAAACTAGTTTATGATGACTGGAGACAGGGAAGGTGCATCTCCTTAGGTGGAACCACATCCAAATGCCGATGTAGAAGACAAACTGCCAATCACCAGCAATGCCTTTTGGGTTGATCTAACGGAACGGATGGGCATTAGCGGTGCTCAGCACGCGATGTTGGTAAAGA